CAGGATCCCAGAAATAATAAAAACATGGCTAAGGATAGTTGATGACTAAACAGATCTATTTATTCTGTGCGATCTGCTTACCCATCTCTCTATCCTTCAGTTAGTCATAGCCAGGTTTTTGTGGCAGCCTGACTCTCATGCCCCACCTGTTGCATTATCTGACCAATTAATGTACCATTGATCTCATAATCCCACTCCTGGAAGGAGGGCGATTGGTGATAAGGTAAAATGGAGAAGGAAGGAGTCAGGAAGCTACCTCCAATGACACTAGCCCATGGATTTTTCAAAGGCACCAGCTAGTACCTTTATTAACTGCAAAGGGAATTTACAGACAGTTGCTATGAAAATAAAATTAATTTTGTCTAAAAGTTTTTCAAATGGTCAGTTCCTCGGTTGGACATAATATATCATGACCTTTTATGGGCAAAAAAAAATCATGAGTTTTTATGGGCAAAACTCACTTTATCAGATTATATGAGCTTGAGTGGAGGAAAAAAGGGGATCTCAGAATAAGAAGGGAGCAGGAGAAAAAAATTAAAAAGTACCTGTCAATTGTAGTCATAGTGCTAATGAGGCTAACCAAGGGGACTTAGCTTTTGATGTCAATTGACTGTTGAATGTAAAGAAAGCAGGTTTTTTAATGGGCCGTCCAGTTCAAGTCTGTTCAAGCCACAGGGGACAGTGTCAAATTTGTATATGAATGTCAATTCTGTACTTTCTCTCTGTAGTTGGCTTGTGAAATTCCTTTGCAGAAGAATGGCTACTTTTAAATCCATTAATGAGTGTCCAGGCAGGTTAAAATGTTCCCCTACAGATTTCTGTGTGTTCCCATTTCTAATATCTGACTTTGGCCATTTATCCTTTGTCATACAGGCAGTCCAGTTAGGCCAATGTACACGGCAGAGGGGCATTGCTGGCACTCGATAGCATAGATCACATTAGAGGATGTGCAGTTGTAGGAGCCTCTGATGTGGTGGCTTGTGTGGTTAGGTCCTATGGCAGTGTCACTTGTATAGATGTGTGGTCAGAGTTGGCAACGGGGTTTATTGCAGGGATAGATTCCTGTGTGAGTGTGTCTAAGTGTGTCTGTAATGTGTGGCTGCTGGAAATAATTTGCTTCAGGTTAGGGCAGGGCTGGGGAAAATATGGTTCATGGGCTGGATCTTGCCCAGAGGAGCCTCAGCCAGCTCCCTGCCTGCTCCACACCTACTCAGCACTCAGAAAAGCCAGCTGTGGGGTCATGTGTGCATCTCGGAATGCAGAGAGCATGGGGGAGACGGCGACAGGCTTCTCACCCTGTCGTTTCCAGCCAATAGCAGCTACCTGTGTGCAAAACAGGCAACATGTGAAGTGCCCCTTCCCCCTTCATCCCCTGGGCTCACTGCGTTCAGTTCAGAGCAGCAAACATGGCCCCTGCAGCTGCTGTGAGCAGTACAGGGGTGTGGAAGGCAGGGACTCTGGCTAAGGAACCCGCTGGGTAGCTGGCTGGGAGCCATCCGGGTAAGGTGTCTCAGCCAGAGCCTGTCTCTGAAACCCCAGTCCCTTCCTTCCCCAGCCTCTTGCACTCCTCCTGCACTTCTACTCAATGTAACCCAAACCTTCTGCACCCCTGCTACATCCCCCATACACCTTCCTGGACCCTGCACTTGCTCCTGCACTCCTGCCCCAGTTTACAACCTCCTCTCTGATCCTGCACTCTCCCTCTCCACGCCAGAATCCTCTCCTGCACCCCAAATCCCTGTCCTAGGTCACAACCCAAATCCCTGCACCGTACCACAGGTTATAATCCCCTCCTAAGCCTTGCACCCCCTCCTGCACTCCAGTCCCCTGGCCCAGGTCACAATCCCCTCCTTCACACAAACTCCCTCCCAGATCCCACACCCCAGTCCCTTACCCCAAGCTCCCTTCTGCATCCAACCTCCATCACAGACTTCACATCTCCTCCATTCATATAATGGAAGAGTAAGGCCCTTGACCACTTACCAAATTCTTGGAGTGCCTCCCCCCATCAAAAATTATTGCCCACCCCAGGTTAGGGGGGTTTCTGAAGGAAAATCAAAGGAGCTCTGCTGATTTACAATTCAGAAAGGCTCTATTTTCTTAATCTGCCATTGACTCAAAAAGCACAGCTCATTAGCATTGAGCAGGATACAGAATCCTAATATTTGCATTCACTATTATATTGGTATTACTGTTTTTTTTTTCAAATAGATTCAAATCAGGTTAGCATCATATGCCTGGTGAGGACCAGACTTTCTTTGAACCACCCATGTGCAGCAATGGATTTCATTTCAGACAATCTAACTATTGTAAGTTCTATTTAGAGTGCACAAAAGTTTTTCAGTTTCCAGTGAAGTCATGGTTACACTAATTTCAAAACAGCATCTGGAACAATATGTTTCAAGACAGGACTCTCAGCTAGCAACAGCTAATGAGAAAATGACAGAAAAGGAAATCTCTTTAAAAGCATCCTTAGATTTGGCCTTTGGCATGACTAGAATAAAGAAAATTGGTAAAGGGTTGCAAAAGGAACTGCACAAAAGATCAGCTAAATCTATACACAAACGTTTCCTAAAGTCTCCTATGATCCTATGATGATTCTTTCCGACAGATTTTTTTGCTTAAATGTAATCTTACTAACAGTGCACTACTGAAGCTTTCATTTTATTTGTATGCCCATGGACAATTAAATGTGAACAGATGTGAGATACATGTTTCACCAGCTTCATTAAACTCTGCATGACAAAGCAGCCTATTAGTGAACGTTTTTTTTTATTTATTGGCAACCAACATGCATCAAACATGTGTTCTAGTAATGACCAGGTCTGGTGCCCTGGGAGGGACCCATCTGCCCACCCAACAAACCTGCCAACTTTATTTTAACAAGTTCTCTACATTTGCCAGGCCTGGAGCTATGAGTCACCTAACAAACCAATAGGTCACATTAAAAAAGGGGCAATACTCATAACTGCTCTGTTCTTGGAAGCACCACCAGAACATTTTATATATGAAATAATAATGAGACAGGAAATAAAAGACAGCAAAGGGAAAAGCCCAAACAAATTGGCTGTTGTAACAATTGCCAGTCTAATATTTTAAAAGGTTACTTTTTATGTCATGTTTCTATACCTTGGATGTTAATATAATGATCTGGGACTCAAAGTGCAAATGCTGACAATACATACGTATTACTACACATCCCTCCAACCCCGTGAAAGCTTTTTGTGTAAGTAATTCACAAAAATTAATTTCTAATGTGTTTGACAGATATAGCCAAACCAAAAATTAACCAAGCCTGCTGGGGTTAAAAGGGGTATTTAAAACAAAAATGATAGTTTCTCTCAAGTTATTGTGAGACACACAATAAAACTAACTTCCCTTTCTGCATGCTCATTAATTTAATGCACACAAATGACTGTGCCCAGAAAAATATCCAAATCACCTCTTATTATTATTTGACATTTAAATAACAGTAGTGCCTTGAAATCTGAGACAGAAGAGTGCCTCTGATCGTGCAAAGAAATCATGAGGCCATCTGCACGGAGCCCCACTAACTCAAATGGGAATCAAGCAGTTCTCCTTGCAGGATGGGAGTCCAAGACCTGTACACTAGTTGAGGAATGAAGAATGAACACGTGGGTTTCAGCATAGGGAGGTGCCTCTGAATAGAGTGTGTGGCACTTGAGACTGACTGAAAATTTGCCCCAAAGTATGAAAAAATAAAATCCTTCAAATTTAAGTGCTCAATGCTGCAAGCCGGACTTGCATAGAGAATCACTGCTTATGTGAGCAGTTCCATTCATTTCAAAGGGGCTATTTATGGGAATAAATATAATGTATGTGAGAAAAGGTTTGTAAGATCCAAGCCTGAATTTGGAATATAAAATGAAACACATGTTGTTCAGGCATCTCCTGGACCATCCTGCCACTTACCACAACTAGCCAACTGTGCCGGCACTGGCTTTAACCGTGAACTTAATGCAAGAATCTCACCAGACCCTATAATCCCACATCAATTTTTGAAAGCATGAGTGGCTGTTACTGAATTTCATGTATGCTGCTCTAGGCCAAATTTGGACTTGATACTGGCATCAGTTCCTTAGCTGTGCCTAAAGCCAAGATAACAAAATAAAAATGGTAATTTAACTCTATTGTCACTAGGTGCTGAGTATTTGAATTTAATCTCTCAGGACACGTCTACACAGGAGGGCAAAAGTCGAATTAAGCTACGCAACCTGAGTTACGTCAATTGCATAGCTGAAGTTGAAATAGCTTAATTCGGCTTTTGGCACTGTTTACACAGCAGGAAGTCGAAGGAAGAAAACTCTTCCTTCGACTTCCCTTACTTCTTGTGAAATGAGGGTTACAGGAGTTGGAGTAAGAAGTACTCCAGCTCGACATTATTTCAAAGTAAAGGCTTGCAGTGTAGAAACATCTTTGTTATTCTGAAATAATGCTGCTATGTAGATGTACCTTCACTCTCTTTTTTTTCCAGGATGGGTGGATACTTAACCATTAACCTCTTGTAATGTAGTAAGAAGAAAACACTTAACTATATCATTACAACAGAGAGCAAAATATTCCACTGATATCAAGTTATACATTTGTCCCAGCCTGTTAACTACTATTTTTCTCTCTCCCTAACCTGCCACTTGGCATGGGCAGAAAACTCATACACTCCTATGGTTAAAACCTGTCAACTGCTCTCTTGCCCTTTAATAGCAAAACACTTTGTTTTATAATATTTTCCTAGGGTAATCAGAAGCCGTTCCAGGCCCATGCAGAAGAATAGTTTGAGATGATTATTTCACGCAATAGTATCTCATGCACAGGTGAGCTGCATTCAGCTCCCACTTTTCTTGTGTTTAGAAATAATCTGGATCTAGGCACAAGAAAATTCATACTTTTAAACACATCAAACTAAGTTACTTCAATATTCTCTGGGGGTTAACTTTACTTTGATGCAATAAAGACATTTTGTCTTCATCTTCCTATACCAGGACGGCTGCATCTGGAGGCTTTGCATTGCCACTGGAAATGAGGGCCTGGGGATCCAAATTGCTAGAAGCACTAACTGCACTTCTGTTGGCAAAGGGTTCACAGTCAGCCAAGTGATCAATGGAGGTGCTGCCCACAGGTACTTGCTTTATAATTTATTATTAATTAATTATTATTATTATCGACTTGATGATTTTTGCATGATCCATCTAATGATGCTCTGGAAACACTGAGTGGATGAAATGGATGAACATTAGAAGTAAGACATGCAGCTGTAACTCTTCTTGGTGTTAACAGCAAATAAGGATTATAAAATCATGGAAGTGGAGGACTGGAAGGGCCCTCTAGAGACCATTTAGTCCTGTTCCTTACACTCAAGGCAGGACTACATAATAGCTAGCCCATTCCTTGCAGGTGTTTGTCTATCCTGTCCCCTGTTCTTAAAAAACTCCTATTGACAGAGATGCCACAACCTCCATAGACAATTTGATCCAGTGCTTAATTCCCCTGACAGTTGGGAAATTTTTCTTGATCTCCAACTTAAACCTCCCTTTCTTAAATTTAAACCTATTGCTTCTTGTCTTATCCTCAAAGGTTAATTAGAGCAATTTCTCTTCCTCCTCCTAGTAACAATCTTTTATATATTTGAAAACTGTTATCATGTCTCCTCTCACTCTTCTCTTTTCCAGGCTAAACAAACCCAATTTTTAGAATCTTTCCATATAGGTCATGATTGCTATACCATTAAATCATCTTTTTTTTTGCTGTCCTCGGGACTTTCTCAAGTTTGCTCACATTTATCCTGAAATGAGGCACCCAGAACTGGGCAAATCAGCACTCCAGCTGATGCTGTATCAGGGCTGAGAAGAATGAGAAATTACTTCTTGTGTTTTGCTTGCAACATTACAGAATGAAGTTAGCTCGTTTTACAATGGTGTTAAACTGTTGACTCATATTTAGCTTATGGTCCACTATGACCCCCAGATCACCTCCTGCAGGACTCCTTCCTAGACAGTCATTTCTCATTTTATATGTGAGCAATTGATTGTTCCTTCGTAAGGGTATGTCTACACTACATGCCTCCATCGACGGAGCCATGTAGATGAGCTTTGTAGACATAGCAAAATACCTCGTGGGATGAGGTTTAGTGGGGCAGTCGACAAAGGCTTTTGATGTCGACCACAGAGCGTCCAGACTGCTGCGCTGAGCCGACAAACAGCCATTTGGCACAGCACGGCAGCCATTTTGATATAAATGAAGCAGCGATTATTTAAATCGCTGCTTCATTTTGCTATGTCTACAAAGCTCATCTACATGTATTTCAGACCATTTCTCCAGTTTGCCCATGTCCATGTCATTTTGAATTTCAATACAACACTAGAACTGGAAGGGACCTCGAGAGCTTATCGAGTACAGTCCCCTGCCCTCATGGCAGGACCCAGTACCGTCTAGACAAGTGTTTTTGAAAGTGTACTATGGAAACACTTTCAGAAACACTTTAACTGACCACCCCAGTTTATGTACCGACGCCATGGCCACGGAGCCTCGTGACTCCCGCTGACTCCGTTTCATCCTTTGCAGCCAAGGGGAACCGCAGAAAGCGGCATGGGCTGGGCCACCACTTCCTGTGGCTTCCCTTGGCTGCAAAGGACAAAATGGAGCCATGAGGCTCCATGGCCTAGGTGCCGGTACATAAACTGGGGTGGTCAGTTCAAGTGTTTCTGAAAGTGTTTCAGAAACGCTCTCAGAAACACTGGTCTAGACCATCCCTGATCAATGTCTGTCTACTTGTTCTTAAATATCTCCAGTGATGGAGATTCCACAACCTCCCTTAGCAACTTCTTCCAATGTTTAACCACCATGACACTTAGGAAGTTTTTCCTCGTGTCCAACCTAATCCTCCCTTGCTGCAGTTTAAGCTCATTGCTTTTTGTCCTATCCTCAGAGGCCAAGGAGAACAATTTTTCTCTCTCCTCCTTGTGACACCCTTTTAAATACCTTAAGACCGCTATCATGTCTCCTCTCGGTCTTCTTTCCAAACTAAACAAGCCCAATTCTTTCAGTCTTCCTTCATAGGTCATGTTTTCTAGATCTTTAATCATTTTTGTTGCTCTTCTCTGGACCTTCTCCAATTTTTCCACATCTTTTTTGAAATGTGGTGCCCAGAACTAGACACAATACTCCAATTGAGGCCTAATCAGTGCAGAGTAGAGCGGAAGAATGACTGCTCGTGTCCTGTTAATGCATCCCAGAATCAGGTTTCCTTTTTTTGTAACAGCGTCACACTGTTGGCTCATATTTAGCTTGTGATCCACTACGTCTCCTAGATCCCTTTCTGCAGTATTCCTTCCTAGACAGTCACTTCCCATTCAGTGTATGAGAAACTGATTGTTCCTTCCTAAGTGGAGTACTTTGCATTTGTCCTTATTACACTTCATCCTGTTTACCTCAGACCTTTCTCCAGTTTGTTCAGATCATTTTGAATTTTGACCCTATCCTCCAAAGCCCGGCAACTTCTCCCAGCTTGGCATTGTCTGCAAACTTTAGGGGTGCATCTAGACTGGCAAGATTTTGTGGAAAAGCAGCTGCTTTTGCGCAAAAGCACTTTTTGCGCAAAAGCACTTTTTGCGCAAAAGCACTTTTTGCGCAAAAGCATCCATGGCCAGTCTAGATGCGATTTTGCGCAAGAAAGCCCCGATCGCCATTTTAGCCATCGGGGCTTTTTGCGCAAAACAGTTCTTCCCTGTCTACACTGGCCCTATTGCGCAAGTATTCTTGCGCAAGAGGGCTTTTTCCCGAGCGGGAGCATGAAAGTATTTGCGCAAGAAGCACTGATTTTGTACATTACAAAGTCAGTGCTCTTGTGCAAATTCAAGCAGCCCGTGTAGACAGCTGGCAAGTTTTTGCGCAAAAGCATCTGTGCCAATCTAGACGCGCTTTTGCGGAAATACTTTTAATGGAAAAACTTTTCCATTAAAAGTATTTCCGCAAAATCATGCCAGTCTAGACGCAGCCTAGAAGTATACTCTACTCTCTATGCCATTATATAAATCATTGTTTAAAAAGATGCTATCTTGTACATCATACAAGGTTTATGATATCTTCGCTTTAATAGCCCATTGTAAAGGGGCACCATGTTACCAGAAACAGTGGAAGGCATTAAGGCCCTGGGTTCTCTTAAGCGAGCACAAGATATATTCTGTTAAGCTCAGACTAGAAGTGAAAGAGGGATTTCTTGTGCACTAAGGAGTAGGGATGTTAGATATAGTGTAACTGAATAGTTGTGTAACTGCACAAAATATTATCAGTTGCATGACTATATGATAGTTCCCTGGGGCAGCTAGAGCACTCCCAGCCCCACTCCCGGGGAACCCTCTGCCACCCAACGCAGAGGCAGCAGAGGCAGCAGCATGGGGTGGCATGTGGAGCCAGGCTGCAAAGGGAGCCAGGTTAAA